TTCCAGACCAAAAATATATACTAACTACTATAAAACTATATAATTAATAACTATAAATAAATAATAAAATATAAAATTTAATAATAAATATATACTTAATTAGGCATCGCACCCTGCAATGTAGCTATACATCGCATCTAGCAATTTATCTAATCAGATTTGATGATCAGATGTAATGTTACATTTGTTTTAAAGATCAAGTGTAACGTAAAATTTTTGTTTTTTTGCTTGTTTTTTAAAGAAATTGCAAATATCTCAAAATTTTGATTATAAAACCATCTTTGGCGTTCTAATTAAAAAAATTCCTTGCTAAATTTTACTATAAAGCGGCCTAACACTAATTGAGCTTTCACTCTAACCCTAAGCTAAATAGAGATTTGGTTTTTTTTTAAAAAAGAATTATATTACACAGATCTGCAAACTATGTTTTGTATATACATGTGATGAATAGCTGCATCGCAGGATGCAACGCATATATTTATTCTAAATATAACTAAATAAAAAATATAATAATAATAAAAATATTATTACAATATCTTTGAACTGAAGAATACTTGCTAATTAATTATACTTAACATCAATAAAAATTCTCTTTAAAATAACTATTTCGAGCATGTTGAAATTTCTTATAAAATGTTTTATATTGTTGTCTTAACTTGCTTGCTAAATTTTTTCTCAAGTTCTCATAGATATAAAAAATATATAAAAAATGATGTGTATTAGGTATTATTAATGACACCACATTTAATAAAGCAGGATCAGCATCTGAAAATAAACAGACAGGTGAAATACTATTTGTTGATTTAAGAATACATTTAAGAAACTATTTATAACTATTAATAGTTTTATCTTCTGATAAATATTGAGCAACAAGCTGGCTTTTAGTATTGTTATCTATTACAACTAGCAAGGTTAAATATATGTCAAACCAATTAGTTTGACATGTATTATCTACTTGTACCATATTGTTATATCATATAAGGCATTATTGCTAGTAAGAAGACATTCAAAATAGCTCTACAAGACAGTTATCAAATGAATCAATTCTGATATAAATGATCCACTCAGGTTCTTGATCTTTTAATGCAAGTAATTTATTAATCATATTTTAGACATCTCCTTGCCATTTAGTAAGTAGTGCTTTGACTCTTTGAACCTCATTGTAAAGATCTCTTTTGTGAATATATTGATCTGAAAAACTTGCTATCAACAATAAATATATTTGTTTTGATTCTATGTTACCTTTAGTAATATAAAATTTAATCATTTTTACTATATTATCTGGCAATTTGCAGTACTTGGGAGCATATAGACATACATTAGGTATCATATTATGATTATGATTTTTAATAATATTTGTTACTTTAATTTCTGATGATGATTTAGATTTTGAAAGATTTATGTGCTATGGGCATATAATTTTTCGAGATGGTCATTGCTGTTGTTATGTTAAATCAATTATTTGATTAGAAATAGATATACTAGAAAAACTACACTCAAACATCTGACATCTAATAATTCTATTCTTATTAAGTTTAAGGTATTTTCAGCATAATGTAAATCTAGTTGTTCTTGCATGTTAATTGAGCTTCGCTTTTACCTCATTCTATGACAAGAAAGAATCACCAATATTGATTTGATTTTCAGATTCAGTTTCTATTTCATGTGTAGAAAAAGTAAATAATATTAAAACACATGCATCCAAATCTAAATTAAACAAACTTAGAAAACATATCACTTACTATTCGTGTCAGCTTGATAGTTTTCAGAAAGCAATTCTATTAAAAAAAAAAGTAAGTAAATCTTAAACAAACAAACTCTAAAAACATAATATATACAAACATAACGCTTACTATCCATATCAGTTTGATAGTTTTCAGAAAATAATTCTATTAATAAAAAAAGTAAATTATAAGCAAACAAACTTTAAAACATAGTGCTTACAATATAATACTTACGATCTATAGTATTTTGACAGTTTTCAGAAAAAAATTCTGAATAAAAAAGTGTAAATAAAACTAAAACACATCCAAATCAAAATCAAACAAACATTGAAAATATAACGCCTACTATTTATCTCATTTTAACTATTTTTAGGAAATAATTCTAAAAAAAAGAAATATGTAGCAAACTCTAATTAAGTAAACTCTAAAAACATAAACTTACTATTCATGTCAGATTGACAGTTTTCAAAAGAAAATTCTAAGAAAAAAAAATAAGTAAAAACAATATGAACCTAAAAAAAAACTCTATAAGCGTGATATTTATTATCCATATGTTTCTGACAGCTTAGGAAATGAAGGTCTAAAAAAAAAAAAAAAAAAAGTAAAATGAACTTAACTAACAAATAATTCTAACAACACAATGCTTACTATCTATATTAACATAGTGTCAAATGACAACATGCTATTATATATCAAAGATATGGTTTATTTGTACTAAATTTTATGTTGATTTGTTTATTTCTTGATTTCTAATAACTCACGTTTACTATTTCACAAGACTTTATTGAAAGACCCTTTTAGGTATTAATTTGCAAAAAAGAGTTTAACTATAAAACAATCGAACTTTTATTTATTTACTACAAACAATAGTATAACATGTATTACACCCATATAGATCTAAAATAAACTCTGACAAATATTATGATTACTGTCATAGATCTTGCACTTATACTTTTCCTATCTGTATTATATACAACATACAATAGTTTATGCAGTGATGATCACTGCCAGTTATTCAAAGTAAAAATCTTATTAAAAACATATTCTATAAATTTTATTAAGAAAATTTTCTTATTTTTACTAAGTAGTTTTTGAATAATAAATTCTTAAAGTTTATATTAAAGAATTTTTTATATTTAA